CGGCGGCGGCATTGGCTTGTTGTACTGTGCGCTCATATCCCAGAGTCTTTCCCGCTTAAAGCTTGGCTTGTTCATCCTTGTCACGCTTGAGCTTTTCTTCGTCGGTCAAGGCTCTGCGTTGCCTGTAGCAACCGCCCTGGGGCCCGCGGCAGTTCTTAGGATCACGTGAGAAAAGGTAGCACGGCAACTTACTCCGTTTTTCGCGCGAACGATCGGATTGGCCCCTAGTCCGCTGCCGTGCACCTTTTCCACGGCCACCTGCTGGGGTCTGAGATCGGCCCCGTGCCTTTAGGCCTCGGCCTTTAGGTTTCTCAGACCTCCCTCTAGAAGGCGCGTTCTGAGCTGGGGCAGCGTTCGCGCTGGCCCCTGCAGCCGGCTGGGCCGGAGCGGCAGCAATGGGCTTCTTGCGGCTACACGGGCAACCCTGACCCGCATGCGGGCAGGTCTCTCCGTTGCGGACAAATTTGCACGTTGTCTCGCCCTTCGTCGCTCCACTCTTCATAACATCTGTGGACTTCCCGAGGCGCGCTGCTACCTCTGCCGCGGCGGCTTTGCCGTTGAGGCCTCGGCGGTTATCGTTGCCGTTGCCTCCGCCGCCGCCCAGGCGCGTCTGTCGAGCACGTTGATTCAAAGGGCCCTCACGCAGATTGATGTTCCATTCTTCCCTCTCGCGCAAAATCATCCAGTCAATCTGGGTTATGAGCCATTCATAGGTTTCCATGCCTGCCCCTGGCTTGTCCGCAGACAGATCATAGAGTTGACAAATCATGTCGAACTTCTTCGAATGCCTGCGTTGCTCAACGAAGGGTGCATGGATTGAAGCTCGCATCTCATCAGACGGAGGTCGCACGCCGTAGAGTTGCTGATGCACATCTGTCCACTCATTATAGACACGGTACAAACCAGCATCTGGGCGATTGGGATCAATAACAACTTTGAAAATGTCACGCGACATGCGGCGTCGACCCAATTCCGATCTGACCGAGCACCAGTAGCAAATGGCCCGTATCATTTCGCGCCCTGTTAAGAGTCTCTTTTCATTCTGGGCGCCGAATTCCGCGCGATTGATCTGGTGAAGGAAGTGAGTGTGATGAATGGAAAGATTGCGATTCCTACGCATTTGGTTAAATGTCTCAATCAAGTTAGTGGCGATCATGATGTCGAGGCGTCGGAAGTGACCCGGGTCTCTAAGCTGTTTTTTAGCCACAATTGGGTCCATGGCTTCCCTGATCCAAAGCTGCGCTTCCTGAATCTCAGGAGGCGATCCAACCGCAGCCCGGGCGGCATGCATCTGCCACTCCCGCATGTTTGTAACATCGGGAATGCCCATCAGATCGACCTTTTGATTGTTGCCAACCTGTCTCCACTGATCCAGAGGGGCACTCTCGTCAAGACCTCCCGGGTCATTAGGCCCGCCTGGGCCCTGAGGCCCGCCACGGCCGCCTCCACCGCCTGTGGATCCAGGGCCCCCCGGACTCCCTGGAGGCGGCTTCTCTGACTGGTCTCGGGCGGCATTGACAAGTGCGCACAAGGGCTCGGTACTTGGCGCGGTACTATGATCACCCCCATCATTGCTCTGCCCTGCCCCGCCAGGCGGCGCAGCGGCTGGCGCGTTATCCTTACCTCCACCCGGCGGCTGGGCCGCTGGTGGCCTCGATGGCCCCGCCTTGGTGACAGGATGACAGTTAACAAGGGTCATGTCATCAACGATACCTGTCAACTCGGCATTGATGGGCACATTGTTCCCGGAAATGCCGGGCTTGGCCGGACCTTCGGTGGCTGGGCCGGGGGCAGTAAAATGGGGTTGCATAACTGGCCTTACGGGCGTCTCCTGTGAAAGCTGAGGCATATCGAACTGATGGAACCTGGGCAGTTTGTCCAGCGCTTTATCGATAAATTGGAAGGGTTCCATACCCATAGTCCTCGTCATCCCTTTAGCCCTTTCTTCAAAGACCGCCTCGCGGTCAGCAGCTTGCAATCGGGACCGCAGATGTTGCTCTTTCTCTGTCAAGGATTCAGTGGTGGCATCCTTGAGCCCCATCGCTTCTTTCTCTGACGCAGCTGCGCGTGCCGGCGCCTCTTCTTTCTCACGAAGGTTGGCTGCTGACTTTTCCGAGCTCAATCGAAGCTGTTCCTCAGCTTGCTCCTTCGTTCTCTGCGCGTTACACTTGTCAGCGTAAATATCATCGAGGAGCTTCTGCTGTTGGGCCCGAAAGTTGGGGTCAGCGCTACTTCGCTTCCAGTGCTCATCCCATTCCGCCTGTTCCACTGGCAGGCCCTTTCGCTGGGCACACGCGACGCAGCGCTTCGTGCTCGCATCAAAAAATGGTTTTTACAACTTGGCGATCCTCAAGTGGCGCATGAACCGACCTTCGGGTTCACTGACCAATTTTCGTCAGCGCCCCCTCTCGCGGGCAGCGGCTGCCGGGCAGCTTTAACTCGCAACATTGGCGGCATCCCGCTTTCTAGGGGCGCCGGGCTAAGCTGGGCCTGCGACGAAGTGGCACCAGGCGGCTGGGCCGCCGGCGATGTTCGCCCGCTCGCCCCTGCCGGCTTGGCCGACGGGCACGATTCGTCGCCTGACTGCATCTGCCGAAGCGATGCCCTAGCATGTTCATGCATCTTGAGCTCTTCTCGATGCTGATTATTATGTTCAACTGCCGTCGCAGCGATAATATGTGCACTGGCCGCTCTTAGCCTGGCAGCGCAAAGTTGATATTGGAGCTCCTTTCTGTCGTACTCTGCCGTGGCTATCGCGGCCCTCTCTCCTTCTAGTTTCGCCGCCGCAACAGCGGCGCAGGCGGACTTGACGTCCGCAGATTGACTGCGCGCCGCCAGGGCAGCCTGTCGCTCAGAAGATAATGTCTCAATTTTCCTGTTCTCGGCTTCTTCCGCACGCCGCTGGGCAGCCGCGGTCTGATAGGACATTTGTTCCATCAGCTCTTGTTCCCGCCGGCTGGCAGCTTGGGCCAGGGCGATCCTGTCAGCCTCGAACCTCTTCTGAACATCGGCAAGAACTGCGTTCATCTCTTCTCGATCCAACCGGGCCTGTTCGGCCCTCTGGGCTTCTAAGACCAGGGTTTCTTGCTGTCTCTGAGCCTCTGTGATTCTGGCCTGATCCTGCATGGATTGGGTCAAAAGGCATTGGCAGTTATGTTCTTCCATCTGGAAGCAGCCCTCGCACAGCCAGAACAGGGCCCGCGCGCTGGGCGCTTACAAGGCCCCCCCTGTTTGCGGGCTTTCCCCGGGCACCTGTTCTCCGCCTGGACGGGCAATTAGGGCCTGGATTCCAGCGCGCCTCGCGCATGGAAATGGCACCGTTGCTCCTCGAAGTCGGCCGGGCACCAGATCGCGGGATCTTGGGCCGCCCCCTGCTCGAAGCAGACGATCGAGGGCGAACGCGCGTGCTCTCCGGTGGCTTGGCCACCTCTCGAAGCGCCTCATCCCGTTCGTCCTGCGCAATCAACTCTGGGAGTGAAGCTGGGGGATCAAACGTGTCATCATCCTCAACTACCGCGGGCACTGACGGCTGCCAATCGCCTGGGGCGACGGCAGCCCGGTAGGGCCCCTCCTGGAGCGGGGAAACATTCAGACCATAATCTTCGTTCCTGTGCTTCTTATGTTGAGGAGCTGGCGTTCGACCCGTGGTCTCCCGGTCATGTTCGACATGAAGTTGGGAACTCATTTCAACCTCTGCCGCCTGGGGCGGTACCTCAGCGATTGGGAGAATGGGGGACGGCATCGACGTTCCCCATGGCTCGTGTACCGCTGGGACCTCACGGTCTAGGCCGCTGATCGTGGTGCCCTGGTCTGGCTCCGCAAGTGCCTTCTCGAGAACTTCCAGGTGATCGTAATCAACGGTCTCCTGTCCTGGGGATGACCATCCGTCTGGGACGGGGCGGTCAGCAGCGTTCATCAGCGGCAAAACTCGGCTTGGTGACATCTGGTGATCGGCGTACTCCATGTCAGCTTCCATAGAATTGACATCGTTTTCGTCATCAAGCTGTTCGTCGCTGTCTTGACCGGGTTGCCCGTTCAAAGCTATCGGGACGGGGTGGGCCCCGCGCGGACGACCCCAACCGTCTGGGACGGCGGGGAGCGCACCGCTGGACTCCATTACGTCTCGCGGCCTGCTGGCTGGGCCAGCGGCCGGCTCAATAGAACGCATGGCAATCGGGCAGGAATGTACTGTTTCTGAGGATTCAACCATCCAAGATGAAAAGGCTCTTCGCGCCTGGCATTAACGGCTGGGCCGTTCCGCCTCATCGGGTCTGGGGTCAGTTTACGATCTCTGATCGGAATACGAGTGGGAGAATCATCTGCAAATGAATTTACGACTGCTCACGCAGCCCCATCCATGAGAAACCCGAATATGATTAGAAGAAGGAAGAGAGCGGCCCTCCCCTGGGCCGCTGTCCTGTTGTCCTTGCCCGTCTCGATGCACATCGTGTAATCTCGCGGGCATTTCGGCTGTCTCATCATAGCTCATTCCCACGGCAACTTGGTCGCGGATTTCGGCTGATTACCAATCTTTCCTCTGAATATGGGTAAGATGCCAAAGGAATTAAGGTCTCATGTTCACTACGCTCAGTGGTAGAGGTATGGGATGAGACATCGATGACACAATATGCTATCCGTTAAGCAAACGCACTCAAGTATAGGAAGGGAGGAAGGCGGCCGGCCGACGCCCGGACGCGGGCGCGCAGCAGCACGTTCCTTTTCTCACTCGAGCAGCAAAGGGCTTCAGGATGCACGAATGGTAATGTCAAGGTATGACAAGGCAGGCAGCAGGAGAGGCAACGATATGATGAGGCGGAGAGGAGCATATTTACTGGCACTCGCTCGGCACCTCGCCAACGTGTCGGGCAGACACTGTTTCGATACTTTTCGAGGTGGTCCGTACGTACTATGGGAACCACATAAGCCTCGGTCCGACTGCATCCCCTCAGCAGAAGGCCCCGCCCCCTCGCGGCCCCCGACCCTCGTACGCGCCGCCGAACCTGCAGCGCGTCGGCGGCCCCGCGGGCCGCCACGAAGTGCTCGGCGCCCTCGGCGCCCCCGAGCGCCGCCGCGTAGCGCGCTTCCTGCGCGGTCAGGTTGTCCTCACGAGCAGGGGATCGGCCACTGAATCGCCCTGCCGCCCCGAAGGTGGTTCTCTCGTCGGATCCTCCAGGGCAACTGCGAAGGCTGCTCGTGGATGAACGTGAGACTCTGCGTGCTTTGTTCCGTGGCCTCGACGGGGACATCAACTCTGGGACAAATCGATGCTGCAGTCGATCCCCTACTCGAGTCCTGGCAGGCCTGCAGCAGCTGCCTCGTGGGGGGTCGTCGTCGTCGTCGTCGTCGTCGTCGTCGTCGTCGTCGTCGTCGTCGTCGTCGTCGTCGTCCTGGTCGCAAGAGGATTTCGCAGAGGCCGCGGCCTCCCCTCCACCTGGTTTTACATATGCCCGGACGCCTGTAAAAATGATGGTCGCTCGCTCCTGGACGCAGGAGGGGAGGGCTTCGGGGGAGCAGAGGCAAATCAGGCTTCGCGCGCTCGGCGTCTGCGCTCGGCGTCGTCGTCGTCGTTTTCGTCGTTGTCGTCTTCGTCGTCTTCGTCATCGTCGTCATCGTTGTCGTGGTCGTCGTCTTCGTCGTGGTCGCCGTCGCTTTCGCCGTCGTCGTCGTCGCCATCGTCGCGGGCGTTGCACTCTTTGCCGCAACAGGCCTGCAGCAGACGCCTCATGGGGAAGCGGAAGCCCTGGTACTTGCCATCGCTCGAGCGTCCGTAGGCTCCGTAGGGCAATTGCATAAACCAGTGCTCGAACTGAACACTGTTTTCCGTTTTCGTGCTGTTTTCGTTTTGCTTCGCTTTGCCTTCGTTCCGCCACTGCTGCAAAGCATAATCACAACGAAAACTGTCCGCGAAATCGCCAAAACACTAGCTCGAGCCCCGCTGCACAAACCTTCAGCGTTCAGAGCTCCGCGGGGCTTTCTTGGATCGGCGCTGGACCCCCCTCCCCAGAGGGAGCGCTCAGCGGGGCCAGCAGCGGCCTCGGCCTTCCTGCCTTCGTCCTCCACCGGCGCGCAGTAGGCGAAGTATGAGCATCGTTGGACCGACCCGTATCCCCACGGGCGTGGCCTGGGCCCCACTGGCCGATGTATCCCCCTGGACGGGGATATGGGCTGTTCCCTTCGAGTTTGGAGGGGCATATCCCCCACTGGGGTGGTGGGATGGTGTGGATCGGGATGGGGATGAGGACAAGGGATCGGCTCAAGGATGCTGAGATTAGGGCATGGTCATTGCAAAGCGGGTGCTCGCCCGCGCGCCCTGACCTGTCCCTCCAGGCTGCACGCCGACGTTTTAACCCCCTGGTGAGAAAACGACTGCGATCTTCAGTCGATGTTTACGGATCTCGGTCTCTGAGCTGCTATCGTCTTCTCCTCCCCGAGGCCTCAGGTCGTGCACCTCGTGCTCGCAGTCGATCAGCAGCTGCGAGACATTCTGGCGCGAGGCATCCTCAGAAGCCTCCCAGATGGGGCGGAGCACATGGGGTCGGCGGATCTCGCCGCATCAGCGACGCATCGGCGACAACGACGATGCAGCAGCGAAGTCCGCGTAGAGAAGATCGGGCTCCACATCGAGCCGCATCGCCGATGCATCGGCGATGCGGCGCGATCCTCCGCCCCATCTGCTCGGACTTCGGTGGCCAGGCATGGGATCCTCAGGTAGTCGCACGAGCACCTAGTTAGTGAGATTGAGTGCCTCCCACTGAACCACCAGATCCCAGTAAATCTCACTTGCGACCCCAATATCATTAAGCCATGATTTGAGAAACTCCCTGGGTCGATCTGGCAGTCTCCCACTCTTGGCCACCTGATCGGGCCCCTTCTGGGAGGGCCTAGACATCCTGCAGCAGCAGCGGACGCGGGCGCCGCAGCGGCGCGCCCGCCGCGACGGCAGCGGCTGGCAGCAAGGCCGTGGCCAGCGGCAGGACGAGGCGCCAGCGGCCGCTCCTCATGGCACCCGCGCGCGCTGCATTTGTGGCACCGCCCGCGCGGAGAGCTGAGACGAAGCCGGGACGAGGATAATATCGGGCGAGGATGCATCGAAAATCGAAGGGATCCGGCAGCTTTGGGAGAATGTGACTATCTACCAGACCAACCCAACCCAACCCGAAGAGCCAAATTTCGAGTTGGTTTTTCAATGTTCCTTGACGCCCCCCACTGGAAATGGCGAGCAGATCGGGACCTTCGAATTGGATTGGGGTGTGTTGGTGGCCTTCTCGGAGCATATATCCTCGTCCTAGCCCCGTTCGAAGCAGGGCCGGCGGTTGGCGGGCAGTCGCGGGGAGCCAAAAGGCACTTCATGCTGCTGCTGGCGGTCGCTCGCAGGGAGGGCGCGCCGGGAAGCCTCTGGGCAACCGCTGGGCCGAGGCCGAAGCCCGCGGGACGCCCCTGTAGACCTGCTTCTGCCGCTTCCTCATGTACATCCTTCTCTATGCTCATCCTGCTGCTGCGCTCGCGCGAAATATTCCTGGTTTTCCTCCTTCTCGCGGGAAAGCCGATGGACGTCGTCCCTTGCAGAATCTCTCGGAAACTCCAGAATCAACCCATGCAGACGATTAAGAACCCTCTCTGTTATCGCTAGCACCGAAACGGGCGTGAATGAATCGCGGGCCGGATTTCGCGGCGTGATATCTTTAGCACCGCACCGAACCGCAACACAGAAATCCGCCGACCCTGTCGGCGTGTGGAAGAGGCTTCTCCGTCTGTTCCCTCTTCGTCGTCGTCGTCGTCGTTCCTTCCCCTTTTCCCACAGCGTCGTTGCTTCTACCGGTCTCCCAGGGCCTCCTCCAGAAGCGTGCCAGTCCAAAGCGAACTTGAGCAACGTCGTAATTGAGTCGAAGGGAAGCCCCTTCCCTTTGATCCCTTCCCCGCCAGGGGGGGGGGTCCCGGGTTTTTACGCCGCCCCCCCGGGGAATCCCAGAGGCCAAAAAAACCCCAAGACGGGCCAAGAGTGCCCCAAGAGGCCCCCAAGACGATCCAAGAGAGCCCCGAATCGCCGAATGATTTGTCCAAGACGCCTTGACGGCCTCCAGACGGCCCAACTGAGATGAATGTCGGCTTTGTTAGAGCTTATGAGCTTTATAGCGAACTGCTAAGGTGATTACAGCGAGCTCACATCCCTCTTGCAAATCAGCCGCATCATGCTATAGTTACAAAGCTTGCCGATCATACTTAGCTAAAGTCAGCCTTGACTTTATTAAGTCAACGTAAGCTGCATAATAGGTTGAGCGGTTGTTAGGTAAGATATGGTCTAGCGTAGCGTATCTTCCATAATTGTGTTATCATATTTACCTTAAGTTGACATAGGTGCTCAAAATATGTTAACATAGATGCTCGTAACAGGCTAACATAGATTCTCAGAACAGGTTAGCATAAAAACAATGTCGCTCAAGATGGGGCTTGGCCGATGCAAAAGTGGTAACCAAACAAGATTTCGTGCTTAACATGTAGCTCCCCACGTTTTTTAACATGTTGCACCGTTGCAAACCACACTTCCAAACCACATGGGCATGAACGCTAACATACAGAATTTGGAGCGAGCATGTTGGGGTCCAGACAACATTTCCGAATGCATCCGTCGGTGAATAAATCTCGGGGAAACAGCGCCCATCGGATCTGCATGACCGTTCGGTGGACTCAACATCAACATGCAGAGCGCGACCACAAAAACACATTTTCAGACAATGAACTTTGAGGTTGTGGATAAGAGTGGGGGGGGGGGGGGGCATGCGAGCGATTAGGTAGTTGATGAGCATCGAGCTAGGCAAATTCGAGAAACAGTTTCGACTTGCAGTTGCGTTTGCCATCCGTTGTTTGCATAGCCTCCTCGGCTCAAAGCATCCGCTGCTAGCCTCCAGCTTCCTGCGCAGCACCGCGGCTCAGCTTACCGAAGCTTTCAAACGCGAGTTCACAAAGATGCTGGATTCAAAAAAGTGAAGGCGAATGGGCATATGGACATGCTAATGCGATGCCTTCGCAAGCACAAGTTGGTGTACCGCGTGGACAACATCCCCCAACATTTTTTCTCGCGCGCAGTTCAAATCGGGGAAGGCTTCTGTTGAGCCCGCACAATGTGCATCGCAATGCTGCTCGGATCCACGCAGCTGGGGCCGACCTGCGCCAGCTATCGAATTCCGTGCGCATCGAGCTCGGGATCAATTCCCCCGTCCGTTGGCAGCACGTTGCTAAGAATAAGTCGCTGGTGGACCGAGCCCAAGGGCTACTGGCGCCAGTTAATGGCTCAGAGCGATACGTTACAGTCGGGCGCGGGCGCGCCACGGCTTTTTGCCAGCAGGCAGGGGTGCAGGGCAGGACGTCTGAGACGTCATTACAAATGGTTGATTCAGATGTGATTGACGTGCAGAAGTTGCGCCAGAACGCGCAATTCAAACTCATGGTTGAAAAAGACTGGGCGTGGGAGGTGGCCCCAAGTATCATTGACGAGCTTTTCCCAGGCTTTGCTCATGTAGCCCAGAAGGCCTTGAACACCCAGAATCACATCGGCACGGGGGTCGGAGAGCTGGGGGCTTGCATAACTTTGGCGGCGAGTGCCAATGACCCAGGGATGCGCGAGCTCGCGGGCTGGAAGGAGATGGCTATCGAGGACGTAGTTTCGCTCAACGTACCGAGCGCAAAATACAGCGAGACCTTGCTTTACTTCGTCAAAAATTTCGGCGATGGCGATGGCGCTCCTCTTGTTTCGCGCATGGGCACTGTTGCGAAGCAATTTGGTTGCAACGCTACGCTGGGGCAAACTTTTTGGGAAGCGCTGGCCCGCGCAGTTTTCGCATCGAGGACCAACCTGCATCCTGTGATCCGGGTGGCGGCTGCAATTGCAAACCTCGCGGGCGACAAAGTTGAGGGCGGCGCGGCGCGCTTGTTGGTGAAGAATGACGTCACGAAGCTCGCCGGCAAGCCTAATATGGCTGAAGCAGATACTGCTGAGCGAATTCTTGACGAAGCCATGGGCACCGCAAAAGGGCTCGGCGGCATCGATGCGGCGTTGGAGCCGTCAGGGCAGCTATTCGCGAGGGTTGCGTTGAAGCTCGCGGGAAAGGAGAAGATGGGCCGGGGGGGCATAGAGCACAAGTGGGGCGACATATGCACCGCATTCTTGCATGGCCCCAGCTGCCTTAGGGGTCAGACCGTCACGTTCGACGAGTGGGCTAAGCATGCTGTCTCAAGCATTGCCACCTCTGCTGCAGCGAAGCCGACTGCAGCCAGCGCGGCGACGCTCGACGACCACAAGGACCCGACATGGATTGCCAAGAGGGCTGGGTATCCGGTCCGGCTCTTCGTAGTCCAGAATCCAATTGCACCTTCAACCCAGAGGGTTTACACGATCTTCAGCATCGGCCAAACTGTCAAGCCCCACGAAGCTGTCAACCGCGACGCGGACCGAGAGCCACACGCGGCTGAGATTACCTTGGCCGATCTCCTCGAGCAGTGGGTTGTTTCGAAAGTTGAGCCACCAAGGCAGATCGACGGTGATCAGCAGCGCCCGCAGCATCTGTACATCGACAAGCAGAAGGCCGCTTTGTACCGAGCCCTCCTCGAGCTAGATGCTAAACACGTGGGCAAGCATAAGCTGGCCTTCTGGCGGAAGCCAGATGAGGTTCGGACCACGAGCGCGATCAAGCAGGGTCAGCTTACTGTGGTACCAATGGCACCACTTATCAACATAAGCACGAAGAACGCTGGGTCTGGCATTTCACTTGGCGATCACGGAATTGACAGCGATACCACGCTTGAGTTGTTCGAGTTGCCTGTGGCGAGGCCGCACGACAATGGTGCCGCCAAGTTTCATGAGGCCGCAGTTGTGGCTGCACGCTGGTGGGTCGGGGCAACCTTCGATAAGAAGCACAGCCAACATGGCTTCAAACCATGTTGCCTGTGCTGACCAACGCTGTCGACATCGGGCCCAACGTAAAGCTCCAGATGTTCGTCAAGCCAAAGGCTAAGGCGGTGCCGATCCACAAGCAGAGCGCTAGCGCCAGGAAGCTGAAGAAGTCTTGAGCAACATTCAGCATGCACGGATGCTAGTCAGGGGCGTGGTTTGCATCATAATTGTTCCATTATCTCGAGCTCTATCCCAGTATAGGCTGTCGCGCCGTAGAGAGGGGGTAGTAGATGGTGGGCGGAGGAAGCAGAGGAGAGTGCTTAAGGAGGAGAGTGGGCGAGGATGAGGGTGGAGGCAGAGCTGTTGCCCCGTCGGCCAGCACGAAGGTTTGACGTCGGACATCGTTTGGCGTGCAAGCGGGCATGCAGATCAGCCATGCGCTTATCAGGCAGTTGATGCAGTCTTTCTGAGCAACCGCACCTGCGCCACCAGACAATACAAACAGTTTGAATAACGCGCCCCCCCCCCCCCCCCGATGCCACGATGCGCATTTCACTGTGGGGCTTCAGAAGGTATGGGCGAGATGCGGCGAGAGCCGTTGCGTTCTATCATCTGATCGGCCGCAGCGGAGCGCGCCTCTGGTGCTTCATCTGACTCATGGCCAGCAACCCTTGGGCGTGCAACCGTCCGCCTCATGCGTTCCCTTATGCCCGTGCGCTCTCCCCTCTCATTGTGCCCTCGGCGATGGCTAGGGCGGAGCCGAGGGAGGGCGCGCAAGAGGGGGGGGGGGGGGCATAGAGGGGGGATGGCGCGTTGGTGAGGAGGAGGAGAATGAGAGAGAGGGAGATAGATAGATAGAGATAGAGATAGAGAGAGAGAGAGAGAGAGAGAGAGAGAAAGAGGGAGAGAGAGCGAGAGAGAGAGAGAGAGAGAGAGAGAGAGCTAGAGAGAGAGAGAGAGAGAAACAAAAAAGAGAAAAGAGAGGGAGAGAGAGAGAGAGAGAGAGCCGAGATAACGAAAGTGTAGGTTAGAAGCAAGGTGTAGGGATACCGTCATGCAGATTCGGCAAGGGGTAGATTGCGATACGAAGACGTCCATAACTTGTGCGACGGGTTGTAGCTAATATGCGATGCCATGCGAGCGGCCCTCTTGGGCTCACCATCCGCCGTCCAGGTGCCACCCAGATCGACGATGTGATATGCCATGCCATGCTTGCGCAAGTCCTTATAAGGCCCTCGCGGCTTTGCTCATGGCGGTTCAAGGATTGCCCCGACCGGCGACGTGCTATGCCACGCAATGCCGATGCGCAGTCGCCTCAACCCCCTCCCTCCTCCTTCTCCTTGCTCCGTGACCTCTATCGAGCATATCCCGTCTCGCCCCGCGGTTTCATGACGACGTCCACTTCGCGTTGCAATTCTACGAAGCAATCGAATGTCAGCCGTTTGGCCCAGGCGACCAGGCGAGATAGCATCAACATTTGCTGCCAGCAGCATGCAGAATGCAACGCTTGAGCTTTCCGTGCCGTCAAGCTGGATGGGATAAAACCAGTTTTGGGGATGTTCAAGCCAACTGATATGGCTACAGTTGGTGACGAAACGTTTGTCCGCATCTCGCCAGCACAGTATGCTTTGCACAGCCTTTTGGATTATAAAAACGATGAAGTCTCATCGGGACTTGAGCAACAGGCAGTAGTTATGAGCAGGGGGCTGAAGGCGCTGCTAGCCCAGCGGAATGATCAGCATTCGGCCGAGCTCAAGCAGGATCACACCCAGTCCGTGTGCAGCTTGTTTAAGACGCCACCGAAGCACACGAATATCGTGACGTTCCATGCCACGAAGGCTGACCTGAGGCGGGAACCAGATGTCATGTGCATGGACGTGGTAGTGAACGAGCGTGTTGTTCACGTTGACGTTCTTGAGCCAATTCATCCATGTGACAACCTCTTCGTTGTGTACAAGCCTGAGGCTTTGGCTGCGGTGCTTCACGTCATGAGGAACATGGGGCCCGATAAGCCACCAAAGCGAGAGCGCTTGCCTGATTTGCCCAAGGGTGTCCACAAGAGGAACGGCTTCGTACTTGCCAAGTTTGCAAAGCACGATGGCTCGAACGGCTACAAGAAGTGCAAGGCCGTTGAGGATGCTATCCAGTTCCTAGCGGCTGATCACCACGAGCAGCACGAATATGCTCAGTACGAAGAGTTTTCGCCGAGTGAGCTTCCCGACGACAGTGCGCCTGCAGGCTTAGGGCCAGCCCATGGCTGACAACGTTGCAAGTATACATATTAAGTCAACAGGCTGGCAGCACCCGCATGATTGGG